AAGCCTGGGGAATGGGGGGCGGGGGGCAGGATACCAGCTTGGATCCCAGGCTAAGTCTATACTTTGCTGCGCAGGGAGGTGGCCGCCCCGCCCTCGCGCCCTCCCTCTCTAGGGAAACGTGCGCCGCAGGCTCCCTTTTCTGATTCTAGGGAAACTCCAAGGGGTGACAGAAGCCCCCAGAGAACTGACATCTCCGCCTCTCCGGGCTCTCCCACAATGTCTCTGCTTGCCGAGCCACCCCACCGCTAGGGTGCAGAGTCGGACTGCGCCGCACCCCACTACCCGTTTCCTCCCCAATTCAGCGTCCGAGGCAGGCGCCGCCTTCTCCCCGCCCCCGAGCGCTGGGCCCACCCTTCCGTTCCGGGACGGGACCTGTTCCCTGTCAATCCGGTCAGCCTCAGGGCTCCTGGCGCGTGAAGAAAGGCCAGGGGAGAACGCGGGGACTCCAGATTACGCACCGCCCTCCGCGATGCACAGAGGGAACTCCCCGCACCCAAGCCTGGGGATCCTCTGCCCACACCCCCAACTCAAGACGCACCAATAAGGAGTCGGGCCCTCCCTACACTCAGCGGCTCCTGGGCGGCCGAGTGTAGGAACCAACTTCCAGCGCGCAGCTGAGCAGGGTTAGGACCCTAGAAAGCTCCCAAATTCCAGAACCCCGTGGGGGCGGACGCGTGCTCGCCTCTCGAGTGTCAGCGCACGCTCTGGGCTGACAGAGCGTCCAGCTCACACTCCGGGCCGGAGCAGAGACTCGCGCACTGAGGGTCTCGGGCTGGAGGGCAATGAAGTCTTCCCGCAGCGGGCGGGGGGAGAGGGGGTGCGCGCCCACTCACCATTCCGGAGCAGAGGCTGATGACCGCCGTGTGCTCGGACTTGGTATTGACGTGGCCTTTGTAGAAACAGTGCTTGAGTTCTGCTTCGTCCTCGGAATAAAACTTGGTCTGGTTCTCCTCGGGCGCCCCGAGGAGGGTGACAGTGAACTGTGGAGCGATAAATCCGGCCTGGGCGGTGAGATTAAATAGAAACTGCTGGCCGAAGGCGGAGAGGCGGTAATGCGCCCGGGAGGAGGTAGCGGAGGAAGAGGAGGAGGCGAAGGCAGGCCAGGGGTCAGAGGCAGAGTTAATGCTCCGTCGCCTTCTTTTGAAGTGCACGTTCGTGGGAAAGGGTTCTCCGAGAGCGTTCACTCGGACGGGAGACGCGATTTCGTATTCGCTCAGGGACTCTAATAATTTCACTGCAGAGAGAAGCAGAGACACATAACCAGTGATTCAGTTTTCCGCAAGTTTTAAATTAAAATAAAGGTGAGGAAGGGCTTTGTCCTGAGTGGCTTTCCAGCGGGTTTTCTTTTCCCATTTGAATCAACCCCTTCACCCTCAGTCAGTGGACAAATACTTGCTGAGCACCTACTGTGTGCTAGGAAGAGCCGGGAAATGTGCAAGACGCCGAGGATACACCCTTAGGAGCCAGAAACACGAACAAGTCAAAAATATATAAAGTAATTTCAGATTCTGACGAATACCCTCAGTAAAATAAAGCATGCTGCTGGCCGTGGCCCCCAGCTACTGAGTTATGGTACTTTGGGGCACAGAGATTGGGAGGGGAGAAAAGCAGGTTAAAAGCAAAGGGTGTGGGGGTAAGTTCCTTCCCCAGTGTCACTCTCTGGAAATTGGCTGGGAATGACCTAAAGGAGAGGCTGCAAAGCGGGAAATCATTCTTTCTAGGAAAAGGAAAGAGGCTTCCGCTGCGGGGTGCCCGCTCCCGGCGCGGAGGCTGGGGAGCCGGCGGCAGGGGCAGAAGGGTCCCGGGCCGGAGCCTCATTACCTTGCCTCGGGTGCAGCCTGTCCTTGCGCACGGCCGCCGCGGCGTCTGGGCTCGCCATCTCGGCCAGGTCCCGCACCAGGAGCGTTAGCAGTGTGGCCCAGGATACAAACTGCATGGTGCTCCTCACCCCTCCCCCGCTGCCCTCACCCCTCCCTCCTGCCCTCCT